GCAGGGCAAAAACTGTAAAAGTCACTTCTCATGATCTCATTCTCTGTCTCTTATGTCTCTGACCTTGTGAAACTTTATACTCCAGCACAATCACTTAGCTCAGCTGATCTGTCTCTTTCAATTACCCCTGTCATTCAGCTGAAAGACAGGGGGCACAGGGCTTTCTCAGTTGTTTCTCCCAAACTGTGGAGCGAGTTGCCCCTCCAGGTCAGGTTTGCCCCCCTCTTGACTGTTCCGAAGTCTTAAAAACTCATCCGTTTTGCTGTTCCTACCAGACTCTGTGTGAGTGACTTTGTGTTGGATGTGTTTTATAGCTTATACAAACTTTGTTTCCTGTTGTTTATAGCTTTTATTTGTGTTTTCTAGTTTTTACTTCTGTTCTCTGTGTAATAGCTTTTAATTGTGTTCTTTTGTTTTATTTCTTTTGTCTATTATTTTACTTATTACTGTTTGTACTATAAAGCATTTTGGATCCCTACAACCTCAGTTCTCCCTGAGCCTCCAAATAGAGCTGGAGTCAGACGACACCAGCAGCTTGAAGGTCGATCAATGTCTGCTGCAAGAGTCATCTGATGCTAATGCCTCGTACAACAGACCCAGTTGTGAAGGCAAATCATCAAGGACTAAAATATGAGATGGACAGATAGCAACAGTGACAGCTACTGTTGACACAAATGTTGAACGAAACCGTTGGGGCTGTGAAGTGTCTCCCTCTGCTCCCATTTACAGGGGACACTGTATAAGAACAATGAGAAACTGAACAGAAAATAATAATTCCCCAGCTTCAGACAAAGCAGTGTCTGATTAACTGCTGCCTCTTGTGGTGATTTGGGGTTAAGGCTGCATATGAAGCTTAACTTTCATTATCTCATAAGTGTCAGGGCGAGTGTCTGTACCATGGTCAACAAATATTTGCCAAATCAAATCTCCTGTAGCTCAGAATTGATTTTTAGAAAAAAAAAGAAAGAAATAGCTGCAAGTATAGACGCCCCCTAGGGGTAGTGAAAGATGAGTTCTCATTAAATTGTTCAAATTGAGCCTTTAAATCATCTTGAACATCCCTGACAGTGACCTGCTGACCCGGTGCGTTCAACGTCCCCTTCCTCATATATTGACCACAGTTCTCCTCCAGTGAAACATATTGTCTTTACCAGCAGACTTGGATGCTGCTTCACTTCTATGACTTCATTACTCTTGCTCAGGCCTGGGGCCTGGGGGGCCCCTCAGGAAAGCCCACTGTGGCCTCGACGGCCTTGTTACCTTCAGCAGCAAAGGCTCAGGAGAGCATTTTGTTTGTGCTCTCTTTTAATTTGGTCCCATTAGTGAAAGTGCAACACTTTGTCTTTTACACTACAAAACACTGACTTAAGAAAAAATAAACACACACACAGAGTCTGTTGAAGAGAAATGAGAGATGTTCTGTTTACTGATGTTTAATCATAATTGTTACATTTATGTACATTTTGAGGCATTTTTGGACATTCTTTTCTATGTGTTATTGTGTGTGTCAGAAGACTTTAACCTCGTGATCAAGTCACATTCAGTCATCATTTAGTCTAGTCTGATCAGTGAGTGATGATGTAAAGATGCAATAACAACTAAAACTCATGCAGATACCCACAAGACCCAGGTGCATTATGGGAGCTTTTGTTCATGGTGACATGTTACAGTGTTGGTCCCTGGGGGCGGCAGAAGTATGTTTACTTACTTATTCCTACGACTGCTTCTTTATTACTTCTCTCTCCTTTCCTATTTCTCTTGTTTTCTACTTTTCTACCTTTGTTTACACTTGTATTTATTCTTGTTGTAGTATTTCTTGTTCTACTTCTTTTCATGGTTGACTTCATGTTCTCATGCTCCACTATTTTTACTAATCTACCGTGGAATGGAAACAATAATTGGCTATGTGGGCCTTATCTTCCAGCCAGAACATTTCTCGTTTCTCGTTCTCATTCTTGTTGAAGTTCTTGTGTTTCTTGTCCCAATTGGAAAATGAGCCTGTTACCCGTTTTGTCCATTTTTCAAATGAGCACAAAATCAGAAATGGGAAGACATTTTTTGAATTTTGGTTTTGGAAACAAATATGTGAAAAATGACTTGTTATTTCTTTTTTTAGTTTTGGTTTTATTTGGAAACACAATGAAGGACTGATATGTGGATTAACTGTATCTCTTCCTGTTCTTAATCCTCTGAATGCTCCTCTTACTCTTCTTTTTCTTCTTCTTCTCATTTTTTCTTATTTGTTCTTCTTTTTCCAGTTCTTCTTCTATCCCCTTCTATATCCTTTGCTTTACTTCAGGCATTACATTACTTCAGTAAAACTTCTTCTACCTTTGGTTTCTCTTTCATCATCTCTTCAGTAAAACTTCTTCTACCTTTGGTTTTTGCCCTCTTGTTATTATTTACCTCTTCAGCTTCTCCCTCCTGTTCAAAATATGTTGTTGCTTCACTTATTCTCCTTCACCCATTCTCCTACTACATGTTTTATTCTGTTTCTATTTTTAGTCCAACTTCCTCCACCTTTTCTGCTTCTGTCTCTTTTTTTTTTCCTATTCAACTCCCTTCCATTTGTTTCTGCTGATCCTCACTAACCTGCTGGCTGCAGTTGTTACAGTTGCTCTTTAGGTGCAATTTTTATTGAGCAACTTTCACGGTGTGTTAAATCTTCCTGGTGATCGTCGCAGATTTTCACCTGCTCTCTGTGTCTGCAGCATTTGATCAAGATGGACACAGACGTTAGTCTTGCAGCAGCTGGTGAAAAGACCATTACTTTGACTTGATGAAAAGAAAAGTAAACGCTCTGCAGGTTAGAGAAGAAAAACCTAATTGATCCAGTTAGAAGAACAATTACTGTGTTTGTGTGTGTGACTCACTCATCACCAGGATTCCTCTGCAGATTCTCCAGTCAATATTAATTTGCAGACAATCAGCCAGAATGTTTCACTTTACCCAGAGAGCTGTGAAGCACGATTACTGCTCATCAGAACACATTTATACTCCAGTCTTTTTTAATTTTCTTTTTTTTCTCCAGCTGGTTGATGCCTATGGCTGTGTGTGTGTGTTTGTGTTTTGTTGTGTATGTGTGTACACACTGTCTTGTCAGTGTGCGATGTGTTGTGATGGAGCCTCCTGCAGACTTGGCTCACTGAGCACTAAATGGACTGAGATCGATGGCTGCTGAAGAGGAAGGTGGTGTCTTTAAAAGCTCTGCATGAGTCAGGGGAGAGGGTGATGCAGTTTTCTTTGTTTATGTTAGCTTTGCTGTTGTGTTATCTCGGTGGTCTCAGGGGTCCACTGTAGATAATGGTTTGTTGGTAGAGAGTGTAAATATGACACCATAGACTCTACATAAATAATGGACAGAACTGAAAGGTGTGACATGGACCACAAATGTTTTAGGAAAATGATTGGTCAGGGTCTCAAACTCCTGGCTAATTCCTCCTAATGTAATTTTGACAGGTAATCATTAATTAATTAGGGCCAGAGTAGTGCAGCAGTAGGACCCCAGCCTTCCACCAGAAGGTTCTGGGTCTGAAACCACCTAGTTCCCAAATCCCACCTTCGGTTGCATCAGGAAGAGCATCTTGTACTGCTGAGAAATCCATGTCCAAGTTCCTGGGAAAAGAGTAGGCTAGACATGATCATAGGTCTGTATATATTTCTAACATCAGCCTCTGCATCAGTGGAACTTTCAGTGGTCATGGAGACCATCACAGATGATGGATCTGAAGCTTTGGTTGATACCAGTCTGATGATCTTTTTCCCCTGTGACACGTTGAGTCCATCATTTATTGTTCCCATAAAACAGCTGGAACTGGGACCACAGAAAGTTTCCATTGTCTTTTGGTCCATCTCAGACGATCTAAGGTCCAGAGAACCTTAGCAGCAGCACATTGATCATGTTCTTTCGCCAACACACACCGTCATCATCCTCTGGTTTAAAGAAAACAAAATCCAGAGACTAACTTGAACTACATGTTCCCCCTCAGACTCTAAACAGTTCCTTGAAAACTTTTTGCAGAAAATGCAGTCTTTGTTCTCGTTACCCCCTTCACAGTCTGTTTTTCTCTTTGAGAGATGCCACACTTCACTCGTTTGACCAGTGACCCGTTTACACTGACCAGAGATTTTCTTCACTTTTACATGGTTTCATGACCTGGACCCACATCCTGGGATTACTAGGACTTTCATCAACTCTCTCCACATCATTACAAACATAGAAGGTGTGCGTGTGTGTGTGTGTTCATCCAATTAAAGCCTGACTGTTTGCTGCAGGTGAGAGCACTGTCTCTAGATCTCATTTCCACCTCAGTGAAGTGGTCAAAGTCCTTCTTTTTCAGCTAACAAGGTCCTGGAAAAGGTCCTGTAGAAGGTTATGGAAATGCTGCAGCGTTACTTACACTGTTTTTGGTTTTCCAGCTCTGATCTGTACTGTGATCTGTACTGTGTCCATGCAGAGACAGGAAAGGAGCAGAATAGTTGAAATAAAGAAGTTATGTTTGAACAGGTATAAACATCATGATGAGAAAAGAAATCACAGTTGAGTCAAATCAGACACAGGAATAATAACACACACGTACTCTCTCTGTTGGCAGTTTATTAGCTGTCTGGCTAAAAAGGAAAATGAGAAGGTAGTGCAGGATGTGGAGAAGGTGGTGGAAGTGATGGTGCTGCTGCCTATTTCTGGTGAGGTCTCTATGGAAACAGTGAAGTGGCAGCAGCGGTGGAGTTAAGACCAGGCTGGGGAAAAACAATGGCTTTAACTTTGAAAAAGTACAAGGAGGAGGAAACAGCTCATAATTGCTCTTTAGACAAAAATGATGGCTACTTCAGTCTGATGAGACAACCATGTCTCCTCCTCCTCCATCCTTTTTATTCCCCTGAGGAGTGGAATTGGCAGTAACTCTAAAGAATAAACAAGATCAGATCCTATAATATACACTAGAGTAATTCTTTGTACTAACAGGTATTCTGGGATGAATCCATGTTTGTCTCCGTAGCTCTGCTGTACGCCACTATCTTTGGAAACGTCACCACCATCTTCCAGCAAATGTACGCCAACACCAACCGCTACCACGAGATGCTCAACAACGTCAGGGACTTCCTGAAGCTCTACCAGGTTCCCAAGGGTCTGAGTGAGCGGGTCATGGACTACATCGTCTCCACCTGGTCCATGTCTAAAGGCATCGACACGGAGAAGGTGAGACTCAAAGAACCACTCAGATTATTTACTAAAAATAAAAGACACCGTTTCTTCTAAGTGCGAAGAAACTTTTAGGTCAGAAAACATCAGTTTGTAAACCACTTACTCTCCCACACCAAGGTCCATGGAGACAATCAGCATTTTTATCTCTCTGCCACACAGGAGCTTCCGTCCTCCAGCTGCTTTGTTGGGATTGTTTCGTCACTTGGGTGAAACTAACTGCAGGTTTGCTACAAAACTGCTTCAACAACTGCTGAGTTTTTATATAATACCAAATGAACATAGAAGAAGGCGGAGAGTTAAAGTCAAATTCCTCACAGCAATGTTCTACAAGAGCAGACAAATTGGTACAAATAACTAATGGATTGTGTAAAGGCAGTCATTATTTAGCCAAGAAATAGTTTTCTGATAAATTCAGATGTTCAAGAAGAAACTTTTGGTTCAGCTTAAACATAAATTCTCTGTTTTGTCCTAACCACTCCTTTTTTTTTAGTGTTGTTATTGATTAAAGGATAAGTGAGCTTTTTGATCCCACGTAGACCTCTGGTTAATTGTGTGTGTGTCTGTCCATTTATCAATGATTTTTTTTCTCCTGGTCGTTTCTCCACCTCCTGCTGCTGCTGTAGTTTATTTTTCCAAATAATTTCTGCAGAGATAATTATAACCTCCTGAGGAGACATACGGCGAGTCTCCTGCTCAGCCTCAGTGAAAACACCACCCAGTCAGAACTGGGGCCAATTAGTGTGTATGTTCTGTCACTGTGGGAGTCATTACACTCGCACACACACTTAGCTGTTTAACTGATACACACCTGAAAAGCACTATTCACCACATCCTCTCATGTCGTACACTGTAAACAGAGCTGAGGTCAGTTTTATTTATTTATTTATTTTCTCTCTCTCTGAAACCTTAATCCTGACTTAAATGAACTCAGACTGGTGTTTGTTTGTCTGTCTGTTTGTTTTTTGTAGCAGTTGTCTGCTTTGTTTATAATTATGTTGGTTCACCTCTGCACTTCACTGATGCATAGTTTACCAGGGTTTCATTCAAAATTAAAATGACCTCTGACCCCTGATGGCCAACAGATAAACAGGCTAAACTTCAGTCAACTGTTTTTACTGTAATGAAGCCTCGAAGGAGAAAACAGGAGGAGAAGGAGGGGGAATGTTGGGTCTATGCTCTGCAGCAGCTGCTCTGCTTCTTCCTGCTTTGTTTATTTGCTGATGTCAGACTTTTTGTCTCCTTGGTGTCTTTTTGTCTTGCAGGTCTTATCTATTTGTCCAAAAGACATGAGAGCAGACATCTGTGTCCATCTCAACAGGAAGGTAGGAGACTGGCCTGCACAGTTCACTTCACTTTCAACTGTGCTTCATGTTTGACTTTGACTTGGTTGAATTTCTAGAACGGTCCCATGCTGGTCTAAAAGACTCCTTGTTGCTCTTCTATATTTGCTGATACCTGAATCTAAAATCATTTTGAAGCTGTCAGTGGGGTCAGAACAAAACTCTCTTTCTTGACAAAAACCAAGGATTTATTTAACAAAAAAGAAGTGATGTGTAGTGGGTTGACTTTACCAATTTATCAGAAATGGCTAACACTAACATAAAGTATAAGTGCTGTTTAAGTTATTAGTGCTGTGAAAGGTTTTTTTTTTTTTTGATAATTTCTTCGGCCATCATTCCAGTTATTTTCATGGATTAAAGAGTATAATTCTAAAAGATTTAAAGGTATTTTGGCCACAATTAGTGGCCCTAGTTAGACATCCAGATCCTTGTACTGGACGAACTGCTGCGACGTGAGGCACTGTTAGTGGACCGACCCCCGTTAGTGACCAGAATGTGGCTGAGCCTCCCACAGTTAAAGGCTGTTTTTTATACCTGTTTTTTTATTTAGTACTTTTTTAATCCACATAGACCAAACAGCCTTCTCTCAGAGTCTCATTTTCCTGTTCTGGTCCTAATTTCCTCGTCGTCCTGTCTTTGCTCAGGTGTTTAACGAACATCCAGCCTTCAGGTTAGCCAGTGACGGCTGCCTGCGCTCTCTGGCCGTAGAGTTCCAGACCATCCACTGCGCTCCTGGAGACCTGATATTCCACGCCGGGGAGAGTGTGGACACTCTGTGTTTTGTTGTGTCAGGGTCACTGGAAGTCATTCAGGATGATGAGGTCATTGCTATTCTAGGTAGGTGATGGAGGAATGTTTCAGAAACTGTTTCAGAAGATGTTTTCTCTCCGAATGAGGACGTAGGGCCGGCTTACTCTCCATCTGTTAATGTTATAGCTGTTGGAAAAATTATAAACATGTGAGAAATCTTGAAGTCATCTGCATAGAGGTTCACCAGATCTAAACCAGTTAGGTCCACGTTGGATTGATAAAATGATTTTTTACTTTAAAAATATTTTATCGCCTGGTACAAACTCCAATAGACAAAAAACATAAAAACAATTCTTTAAGTCTACTCAGACATGTGTTGGACTTCTGCTGCCATATGTGGTCATGATGTGACACATTAATAAGTCTAACCTAACAAGTTAAACTCAGAACTCACAAAATAACACCTTCAATTTATTAATTATTAATTATAATTGGCCAGCAGGTGTTCATCAACTCATACGTGTCTTTACACAAGTCAGTTTCCGTTTATAAAACACGTGTTTACTGTGATACAAACCAGTGAACATTAGGAGCCGTCACAGACCGAGGCTGTTGAGGATTAATTTAGCCTGTGACCAGTCCAGATACCAGTGATGAGCAGAAACCTCGGAATAGGGCCCTGTCCAATAGGTCTCGTAATAACTGCTGTCCCCTGGTGGACACTAAGTGACAAAGAAAAATTTTTGATGATGATTAGCAGCAGAAAACAAGGGCAAATGATTTGATGATTAGCAGCAGAAAACAAGGGCAGAGCTGCAGAGCACAGCTGTTAGGATGGTGTGGAAGTTTTTAAGAAACACACTCAGAGTGAGTACAAATCTTCACTGACAAGTGTTACATCATCCTGACTCTGTGAAGTGTCAAATTTACATGTTCCATCTTTCCTCTTAATATTTACAGAGCTATTGCATCACATTGGCAATAAAAGACAGTCGGCTTGGTTTGCTGGGAGACAATGTTTTTTCTTAATTACTGTCGGTTTTTATAGAGTCATAAAAGCAGAATTAAATGTTCTTTTAGCAAGTCTAGCTGGACATAATATACTTTGATTGTGCATTATTTAACCTGCAGTTTAATTAAGAGTTAAGTAAAGTAAAATTAAGAGTTTTGACAAATATCTCGTCAACCCAAAGCTAACATAAACTAGACCAGATTCATTGCAGAAATCCTCATGTTTCTTTGTTAATGTAAAACTTACTACTACATTTTCCTCCATTACTTGATATAATCTCTATTAACTGGCTGCAGCTACAGTAACTGCAGCAGCTCCAGCTGTAAGCTAGTGATCCATTATGTTAAAGCTATAGATCCCACTGCGACAGATAGTGATGCTCAGCAGCAGCAGCAACTGCAGCAGCATCCAGATAAAATCACTGCAGGAAACAGGAGAAGACTGGAGTAGAGAGGACATTAGAGTGATGAAATTCAGCAGATATGAGAGGAGAAAAAAGGAGGAGGAAAAAATGAACACAAATCAAATCAGAGCAGAAAAATATGTTTAGCAAGTGACAGGAATTTGAAAAGTGGGAGATAGAGTCTAGCTGTGGTGTCTCCAGGTCTTTAACCACGTCAAGAGCCCGAGTCAGAGATCAGACAGCATCAGTCACTGCTTCTAAAACACTTCAATTCCTGGGAATATATCAGCACTTTGAATTGAACTAAACAGGTCCAGGATCCACTCACTGAACAAGTAAATTGTGAATTAAATGTAACTAGAAGAGCTTTATATTTAATTTCATATCCTTTTTTTTTTTACATTTTTGTTTGATGCTGAGTTTTGGAGTTTTTCTAAGGTAACGCTGTAAGTATTAGATATTAGATTACACAGATTAGATATTTAATAGTTAAGGAAAAGGGCTAGGGAATTTGTCTATGTGAAGTACTCACAAAACAGAACAAAACACAGTGTGTGTGTGTCTGTGTGTCTGCATGATTTTAAAGCCAATGATTTCCCTTGGTTGAGCAGCCTCTGTCTCCTGAGGCTCCTACACTCCTCTGCTCTCATTAGTGTCTGCAGGCATCAGGTGAATACACACACACACACACACACAGCAGCTACTATATGTAATACAAACCAGTGCCCCTGAATATTTGTTTATTACAGCTCTTTAATTTTCTGCAGGTAGAAGCTGTAGGTATTCCTTTTCTCCAGGGAAGCAGTAAAATATCACACATACACACACAAAAACACACACTCCCGCAGTAACTAGACAATAGTGGCAGATCATGTAATTGTTCCTAAGTAATAACCCTCTAATTTTCCCTCGCCCTGACACAAACTCACTCCCGGACACAAGGTTTTGCTCAGCCTAAATAATGGGACACGTTTCCCTGCATGATGCGTGTTCTGTCTCCTCTGTCTTTTATTGCAGTGTTTTCCAACCCTACGGCAAACCACTGAACAAAAATCTCACAAAAAGTATATGTAATGAAATATAATAATTAACTTCCAGTTTAAATGACCTCATAATTGACTAAAATCTCGGCCTGTTTATTTGAAGACAACACTGATTTACTGGCAGGAATTCAAGAAAGAAAAGTAAAGAGCAAGACCGATACAAATACAAAATCATTCAGTCACATTCAAATTATTTTAGTAAAACCAATTGGTCTTTGGTTTTTATGAACACACAAACTATTAAATAAAAGATCGTTTTTAATTTCACATAAAAAAGTCTCAATTTCTCAGATTGTTTCATTTATTTTCATTCGACTAACTATAAATCCAATCTTCCATTTGTCCAAACCTGGCTCAGCCTGTGTCTCCTACAAAACCCAGGATGATACACCGGTTCTCTAAAGAACAGGAGAAAGCTCAGACAAAAACACAGAATCAAACACCAGGGAACCTTTTCACCCTTATTAAAAAAAAAAGATGATTCCGTCCGTGCTGAGAAAACCCACTTGCCCTGGTTCTTTGTTTTGCCGAAATGATGAGCTGATTAATTTCTTAATCCATTATTCATGTTCGGTTATGAGAAGGGGATTTTAGTCATGGCCGTGAATTCACACAGCAATATGTTCAGGCCCAGAGAGCAGCACGGCACCTGCAGCTGCGCACACACACACACACACACACAGTGGTACAGTAATAGGAATCTGTGCAGTGATGTTCAGATGTAGTGGAGATTAGAGAAGAAATCAAATTAAAGCTCAGACACTCCTCTGTCTTAAAGGTTTCTTCAGGACAAATCCAAAACATGTTGAAACAAATTCAGTTTTTAAAACTCCCTGTGAGACTTTAACTATTGTTTAATCAGCACCACAAGGTTAGGATTTAATACTGCTGAAGCTAAAAGTGCTAAAACTGCTGCCTTGAATTTTCACAGGTTGGGGGTTATTTTAATGCCCATATGTATAGTATAATGTCCATATAGGCTACTCCTGAGTCAAAGGTGTTCTGCAATTACCAGTGAAGTAGGATACAGGAGCTGGGATGAGCTAAAACGCAGCTTATAATAACTGCAAGGTAGAAAAGAGGAATAGAAAAACAAAATAATTATTAAACTTGAAAGAAAACATTAGGAAAATAAATTAAAGAAAAATAATAAGAAATGAAAAAAATAATCTTCATCCCAATATATATATATATATTTTACTTCATTTTGTTTATACAGTGGCAGTGTTACGTTGTTACATTGTTGATTCTGACCACCAGTAAAGATGAGGCCTGTGCTCCTCAGCTCTGTGTACTGAGGAGAGCAGACGCAGCAAAATGTAGTAATTAATGCTTTAATGATCCTAATTAATGTTCTCATTAGCTTCAGTGATGATGATGATGATGATGATGATGAATGTCCTGCTGGTCATAGTAATCCTCAAAAGAAAAACTCATGGAACAATTAATTTATCATAGAAATGTAACCAAAATTACCATAATGGAAAAGCTGTGGAGCATGGAGCTGTGATGAAGTCCATGACAGGAGGCGCTGGTGGACATGCTGGTCTTCACCCACTCACTTTAAAGGGATAATGACTTGAGGAGGGTTAGAGCAGCAGCAGCATCAGCAGCGAATACAGAAGTGATGTCCAGTCAGATGACGGAGCGCAGCAGAAACCTTCTCGCCCACAGCCAATTCCATTTTCTGCTGATGGAGGGTGGAGAAGGAGCGGGTGCAGCTCAGTGTGTTTATCATCAACGCATGTGTCAGGGGTTTGATCCCATTTCACCCACTGACCCTCGGCCTGACCTGACTGTCAGCTGTGAGAGTTCATCTGCCGCCGCAGCAGCTCCTGGTTTAGGTTGAGCTTTAGCAGATTTCATCAGCAGCAGTAGTTGCGGTAACCACGTTAGCAAAATTGTAGCACTTTGTGTCTCAGTGTGTACTCTTTTTTACTTCTCTGGCTGGGGCTTCTGGGCCTGTTTCATTCTACACTTGTACTATCACTAGTATCAAATCTCTGTGAGCAAAAAACTTCCAAAAATTATAATGATAAAATACTGCAAATGTGCCATTAAATATTTGTCTGGCTTAATTAATGTACGTGTAGACAAGATAATGTGTTAATGTGCCCGTCTCTACTCTTGAAAATTGAAACAGTAATCATTTTTCATTGTGTAAATATGAAAGTGAACATAAGAATTATTACGACTGGCACTTGCGTTTGCTAGTGTTAAGCATGTGATTGGTGGTTAAAGTTGTTGTTTTTTTACTTTTGAAGTGAGACACTCAGTGTTTCATTTAAAAACACTGATCAGGACATGACTGACTCTGGTTCAGATCCAGATCATGTATCTTCAAAAGAAACATTAATCTGACAGAATAATCAACCCGTGGTTTCTGAATGAACATAGTCAGACACAGAGTCTGGTGATGAAGTCAAAGCCTCAGACACTCCTTCTCTTCCTCCTCAACATTAACAGTTTTTGTAAGGTCGTGTTGGACTCCTTTCTTTCTTCCTGTGCGACCACCAGCTCCACGTCTGTGCTAATTGGCTGCTGCTGCTGCTGCTGCTGCTGCTGCTGCTACTACAACTACACTTGTTTCTCCAGGGAACTCATTCCAGACAAGCTCTGCTGCTGTTGCGCCAACCTTACTGTTGCATGTTCTCTGGGGCAAGGAAGCCTTCAGAGGCGAAGGAGGGTGGACTGAGGTGGGATTCACTGAGATGAGATCCTCTGGGTCTGGCCTACGTCTGATGTAGAGGCAGTGGTCAGAGTGGGCTGCTTTTAATCAGCTGTCAGAGGAGACTGGACTCATCTCATAACCTGCAGATGATCCTTGAATTGCGTGAATGAATCTCAGACAGAGAGAGAAGGTGCAGACGTGTCCTTTACCTTCATATCTACATGTGTTAACCTGCCTTTTATCATGTGATTTTTCAGATTAGGATAAGTGGCATCTGTTGTGAGTTACTTCAAATAACACAGTACAATGAGTACAATAACACATCTGGAAGAGGATGTGCTTCCTGTGAGAAGGAGACAAAAGCATTTGTCAAAAGCATTTCCACACATTGTTAATGCACAGAGTAAACAGAAAACAAATCGAGAAACATCAAGGGCAAACACATTGGCAGAAAACTCAGGACTGTGGGATCAGGAAGAAAAAAAATAAGCAGGGAAAGAATTGTTTGGAGAAATATTAGAATGTAAAAGCATAAAATGAGCACAATATGAAAATAAGTCAGGACTAAAATAAAACATCCACTGAAACCTGACCTTTTTATATTTACGCCCTCCTCTCCAGGTAAAGGCGACGTGTTCGGCGACGTCTTCTGGAAAGAAACCACTCTGGCTCACGCCTGTGCTAACGTCCGAGCGCTGACATACTGCGACCTCCACGTCATCAAGAGAGAAGCTCTGCTGAAGGTCCTGGAGTTCTACACCGCATTCGCCAACTCCTTCTCCCGCAACCTCTTCCTCACCTGCAACCTGCGCAAACGGGTAAATACACAAAATACACACACCTCATCCTGTGGGACCATGTCTTACTCTGTGGTAATACATTTGTTTGTGAAGTCAGTCGTTCTTCTTGCTGGTTGAGAACTCTGAGTCCTTGAACTCACCGGTTTTCCGTTGTCGGCAAGAAGAGCCTGAAATTTCCAGATTTCAACAAATGAGGAACTTTTAGTCTGCTTAAAACACGTCCTACCTGGATGTGTTTCACTCAGTGGAGCTTCTTTTGTGAATGGGCCAAAAGTGTTTTTGTTCTGGTTCATTACCATGTAACAAAAACCTTGGATTGTGTTCAAACTGCAGTCAAATGTGGCCCAAATCCATGGCCCATATGTGCGCTGTATCAGGTTTTTCACCAGCACAAATCTGTCTTTTCCTCAGCAGGTCTATAGTCAGACATATCTATGTCTGAGTCTGAACGCTCATGTCTGTGATCGATGTCACAGTTCTGTACCTGAGGGGCGGGGCTACTGCAAGATCAGATTTAAACCATTTAGAAAACAAACACGGCAGACACTGTTGATTGAGTTGGTATATTGTTGTAATGTTGCTGGTTCCCTTGAGGTGGAACAGTGAGAGGAGAACCAGCTGTCCTCAGTTTGGGGAAGGACACAGACTCTAACAAAGAGTTGAAGTTGATGATGTGTATTATCCACTTTTACTGCTGTAAATACTGCATACCATGTGCGCCACTTCAGAGACATACAGAGGTTTGATGAAGGCCATGTTTAAATTATGATGGGACTAATGAGTAGGGAGCGAAAAATGTGATATTTGGAACTGAGTATCTCAGTTATCCGAGTGTCTCGGTGCAAACGTAGTGCTTCCTGGTAAAGTTCAGATCTCCTAAAGTAAAGTAAAGTTTGTGTGGTCAAAAAGAAAACAAAAATCTGCAGCCAAATTTGACCTTTTTAGTTTCACGGCTCTTTAACTTTTGACATTTTTCTGATGAAAGAATCAGATGATTTTCGGATCAAACCTGCAGAGGTTCTTCTGAGCTTTGAAGCTGGCCCAGCTGTCAGTCAGCTGACACCATAGGTCTGTGAGGGAAATGAACATCAGTTTAAATGAGAGACGGCTGAGGAGTCCAAAGGGAAATCAAAGAGGAAAATCAGACACTGAAGTGCTGAAACCTGAAACCAGGAGTTGCAGCTCCATAGTTCTCAGATATGATTTAATTTAGAGGCAAGAACTTTGACCCAGTCCTGTCACCCTCCCATCTACATCTCTCTGGAATTATGTACATGCTTAATGATTGTCTCGGTGTGAAGCACATTTGTTTTGTTTGGTGTTTGTGGTGAGTTTGGAGTTGATCTGTTCTCTGGTTTCATCGTAATCATCTCCTGTTTCACTCGCTCACTCAGAATGAGCATTGATTTGAATGCACTTCATCTGTACAGTAACAATAGCTGTAATTGAAAACACACACACACACACACACACACACACACACACACACACACACACACCCGCACACACGTACTGTATATTGATCAAGTGTAATTTCCTAAATGCGGCCTGCACGTTTCAGTCAACAGCAAAGCTCCCCATCAACGCTGAGGTTAGCTTCTTTATATATGTTCATGTTTGGTGTCATCAAAAAACATCATCTGACATCATCCATTAAAAACTATCACTAGAATTAAAGAGGAGTTTGCAAAACCAAGTCAGTAATGACCAAAAGAAAACTCAAAAAACCACACGGACAAACAGAATACCACTTTGGAATAGTTATTAGTAAAAAAAAATTAAATAAATATTAGCTTCCAAATTTTCCCCAAAGATAACAGAAATAAAGTCCGAAATTATTTAAAAAATTAGGTTAGTCAATAAATAATATCACACAGAGAACTACAGTAGCTATAAGTAGCTAAATTAGCCAAGTTGCTAATTAAAACTTGGGCAAATATTAAAATGATACTTATAATAATACTTACAGTATAATGACATTTGTGTCTGATTGTTGCTACGTATTTGTGTGTGTATGTTTACTGTATATGAGGGGTGTGTGTAGGTTTGAGATTTGAGGGGAGGGGAGCGTTAGCCAAGGAAGGACTAAGTGAACAAACCAGGTCTAAGAGGTTTTATGGAGGTTGTTGTCAATACACTAAAGTTACACGGATGTTAACTTAGACTTAGAGTAGTCACTGAATCTTTGAGTTCCTGGGATGCAGCTCAGAGGTTGCAGGTGAATCTGTCTGAGTTAAAGGACGGGCAGCTCATTTTCACACCGTCTCCTGTGTGTGATCTATGCTGATTACACCAACTGTGGCAGCCTCTAAACAAATCTGCTGAAAAATGAGTTAAAAACCAAGTCACAGTGCAGTTCTTCGCTGAGATAATGGCTCCAGTTTCAAACTCCATCTCTCTTCATCATGTGTCAGCAGCTCCTGCTTCAAACCAGCCTGTCATTAGTCATCAGCTGTCTTTAAAGAGGGGAACTAGCAGCCTCTCTGAACTTCCTGTCTGAACTCACTTTAATGCTAACGATGAAAGGCAGTGAAAGTGACCCCGCAGCGCACTCTTGTCAACACATAAAAGTGAATTAAAGTGACAACAGGACAGAAATAAACAAGTAAGATTTACTGACATCTAAGAAGTACTACAGTAAGACAAACTACACTGTTCTTTATTTAATGTGTACATAATATGCCCGTGGCAGGCTTAGCATGTGGTTTCTCTGGAAATCACTGCCTTGATTTTGATAGTTAGGACGTGTTGGTCTGAAATGGTCTGTCTGAATACAGATTTAACAAGATTGAACTGGTCACTGGTTTTCAGTCTAAAGAAATATTTTGAAGAATAAACAAACATAAATACATTTAATGATTTAAAAATCATTCATTGGATCACCTGGTTTACAGAACTAGCTAAAAGTTATGCAGAAATAGGCCAGAGAGGGCTATGTTAGGCAGAAGATGAAAAATAGTTTGAAGTAAGACTAAATAAATACCAAGGTTTTCCAGAGTTATACTACAAAATAATTGTAAACTCAGTAAAACACAACTACTGTACAGTCAGTATTAGTGGTTAGACTATGAAAAGTATTGTTGGAAAGAAATGCCATAAATGCTAATGAGTCAGTTGAGCCTGAACTGTGGACCTTCGGCTCTTCTCTTAGCTGTAAATTCTCATGTGATTTTGATGAGGTGATGCGTTGTGTTGTGTTTATAGAGTGTTGTTGTTGTTGTTATAGTATATTGTAGTTCAGTCACTCTGGTCCAGTCTAGACCTTCAGTCTGCAGTTTCTAAAGCACTCACAGATTTACAGCTCAGTCTGAAGTTTTACTCCCAGTTAGGATTCAAACAGAGCTGCGGATGATGAACGGCTTCTGTTTGGTCGTGTTCACATTCACTGCTTTATTTACTGAAGTTTACGGTAAGAGCACAGAAGACGAGTCCAGGATTTTTAAATATGAAATGTGAGCTGTACACCAGGGTCAGTGTCAAAAGGTCCCCAGACTGAGGTGTTTATTTTTGAAGTCTGATGTTTATCACTAATGTTTGGACAGCTCTCTCAGGTGTCTCCAGCAGCTTTGACCTGGAAACTGAAGAACATTTAAAAGGAAACAGATTTCAGTCTTTGGATGAGACAGGTCATGAGCTGGGGACAAAGAAGTTCTCCAGAATCTAGAGTATATTCATTTGACATTAAAAAAAATTATTTTGGATTTGTGAATTTTCAGCATCAGCTCAAAATTTCTTTCTCTGAAACAGTGTTTAGTTTTTCAGCACATTTTACCCAGATAAAAATGATTCAGACAGAATCCTGCAGCTCTCTGCTAGGTTGTTCATCTGACACAAGTATGTGTGTGTTTGTGTGTGTGTTTTAGGGCTGAATTTCTGAAAAGCAGACAGGCAGGTTTTATGTGTGCTAAATCAGTTGTGTCAACAGTTGTGTCTCTGCACTGTTTTAATGTAGCATTTTAATAGCAACTAAATATAACTAATTATGTATATGTATATATGCATACATTTAAGCAGTATGTGTGTAGCTTAAAACCAACGCATTTAAAATGATTTATTTACAAAATCAAATAAATATAAAATCTAATGTAGACCTAACAGTGTCTCAGGTGAGAGGGTGAGACAGTAACTAACAGTGTCCAGCCTCTCATTAACAGTCAGCACATCTGCAGTGCTGAGACAGTGGAGTTGCTGCTCCACTGCCTCACAAACACCAACATATTCTTTGTAACACAGAAAAACCGAAGAGACGGAAGAATGAATTTTAGAGATTTGTCGTCTAATTATCAGAGAAAGTTGTCAGAAAACAACACAGAGACGATGATGATGTGATGAAGAGATAATTACCAAGCTGTCAGTGCAGCAGCAGCAGCAGCAGCAGCAGCAGCAGTGTTCTTTTCTCTAACAAAGGCTCAGTGAACTTGTAGCAGGTGAAATTAAATTCTTTGTTTTTTCTCTGTATCAGTTCTTCCTCCTCTCCTCCCTCTTCCTGTCCTTTTATTTACCCTTCTATTGTCCTTTCTCTCTCCTTTTCTTTGTCTCCTTGCCCTGTCCTCTCTTTTCCTCACCCTAATCTGCCTGCCCTCTCTCTCTTCGTCGCCTCCTCCATTCCATCCCTCTCCGCTTCATCGATCTGCGTCTCTTTGCTCCAATGATCTAATAAACAGAAAAACTCTCGTTATTGACCAGTTTTAATTGTTTATTTTCCACCAGCTTTTACACAGTTTATTCTACGCCTCTGTTTGTTAGAATTTTGGTTGATAAAATTGAAGTCTTCTTTTATGCCACATTTCAAATTTAAATTTATGCCACTGTATGAGGTCCATTGGAATTTGAAAACATTAAAAGCACTGAGATATGGAATACTGCAACAGACATGACTCACAGTCACAGATATAACAATGGTGGTTTTCCAACTAGGTTGTCCTATAGGTGCTCAGAAAACTGGAGGGGAGATGAAAAAAAAATGGAGTTGTTTCCAATGGGTCCTGAACTCACCTGGTGTGACAGCAGCAAATTTG